CTTTTCTTCTAGCTTTATATGCAGTAAAGGTGCGTGCAGAAGCTATGCAGAAAGCCTCTGAGCTGACTCCGAGTGGGATGCTGTCGGTTGTTGGCAGACCTCAGGCTCAGTATAAATACGCCTGTCTTCAAGCTAAAGAGCACTGCAAGAGTCTAGGGATCGAGCAGCCGATTTGCTCTGTGGCCAACTATTTATTCCCTGATGGCAGGGTTATTGCTGGCCACCAGCAGGTATGGAGCCACATACAAGTTAATTTTCTTGCATTGAAAATTTTTTTGATATAGCCTTGTGCTTTTATTTTAGGCATTGGATTTTCTCCAGCAGAACTCACGGACTCTACAGTTTATGAGAACCAAACCTCTACCAGTTAGTGGTGCTTTCCACACTGAGCTGATGGCATCTGCTACTGAACCTCTCAGAGAGGTGCTGCGACAGGTGGAGGTCAGTCAGCAAACACTTGATTCAGGCTGCACGGCTACTCCTTTACACGTGTTGTATGACCTTCTAACTTTCTTAATGATTTTGTTATCTTGTCAGTAAAATAACATTATACAAAGTAAATCTAATCTTTTAAAAATTACCTTTCTTTTTATTCCTTGAAATAATAATGGAGTTTTATTTTATTTTAATGAGCTATTGACCACAAAAGGTGAAAAAATGCTGCAGCTATTCGGAAACCAAAGTGCTATAAAGTATAAATGTTTATAAATGATAGATAAAAATGCAATAATGTAATTAGTTAAATAGCATTATTCTTAAAGCAAAGCTGTGTAACTTTTAGACACTAGGGGTGCTAGACCTGTATCGTCTTGGTTTAGCGCCCCTGAACTGGCAGAATTCCATTGTTGCTACATTAATTGGTCACAATTAGTTCTCAACAGCGGAACAGTAGATTAAAAAGTCATAAAGTAGCTTGTAAATTCAATGAAACCTTCATTCACCCCTCTAGATTCAATCCAATATCAGAGAACCACAAGCTTGTCTGATCAGCTAAGGGTCTCATCGGTTTTTTGTCTGACTACAACGTTTTACGGTTCGCTCTTATGTTTAAGTAAAGCTAAGATTGCTTCAAAGTGGCTCTTTGGGTCACAAGACTCATTCAGTGACGGATCTAATCCTCTCAAGTTACACAAACCTGTTTTTAAGTAAGACAGCCCACATGGAGCAACAATATACACCAGGTGTCTTCATGTTGACCTGAATTATATTCTAAAATATTATAAATTAAACTAATACTTGACTGAAAAGTTACTAATTGTTGCTTTAGTAATCAAAGTTTTTATGACCTAGGCATTCATTTTCTTAAATGTGTAAATTATTATATTGAAACATGAACTTATACTTAGAAATAGTTTGTAATAATTGCTGTATTCAGTTAATTGTTTCACATTTTATTTTAAATGTCATTTTAGGTCTGAGCAGATGTCAACATTTAATTGGTTGTCTGACAAAAGTCAGATCAATCACATTTCATTTAACCGTGTTTGGCCTGCAGACTGACGGCTCAATAAAATGTGCAGAACTATAATAAATAGTTATAAAAACGTTATTCTTATTATTTGCAGATATTACAGATATTACAATTATTCTTATTTAATGAATTAAAAATGTAAAAAAAAAAATATATATATATATATATATATATATATATATATATATATATATTTAGTTGTTTTTTTAATGTAATACATTTAACTAAATGTATAAATATTGAATCAAAAATGAAAATGTAGCATTTTTTGGCCACTAAAAAAACTCCTTGGTTTTTGTTATTGTGTTTTAAACATTCAAATCTGATTTGGCATGTTTTATACCCCATAACTATATTTAGTTATTTTGCTTTTTAAATTAAATTTCAGCTCCGTCTTCCGTAGGAATCAGTTTTGTTTGTGTCTTGAAAACTTCTTTAAATCAGCTGAAAGTTTTCGTTCTGAACTGTTGTTCATCTTGTCAAATTTGAAGAATAATACAATCAAAATCTTTTTTTATAGCAAGTTTTAGGTCAAAGGTGATTGGTATTATTAGCATCTTAGCAGAGCATGCATAAAGTCTGGCCTATGTTGTGTCATTAGGTCAGAATAATCATTTTTCCACATAGTCATATGAAAAAGTTTGGGCACCCCTATTAATCTTAATTATTTTTATTGCTAAATATTTGGGTATTTACAACAGCTATTTCAGTTTTATGTATCTAATAACTGATGGACTCAGTAATACTGAATTGAAGTATTGAATTGAAGTTTATTGGACCAACAGAAAATGTGAAGTACACATTAAAACAAAATATGACGGGTGCAAAAATATGGGCACCTCAGCAAAAAAGAGACATTAATATTTAGTAGATCCTCCTTTTGCAAAAACAACAGACTCTAGTCGCCTCCTGTAGCTTTTAATGAGTTCCTGGTTCCTGGATGAAGAGATTTTTGATAATTCTTCTTTTCAAAACGGTTCCAGTTCAGTTAAGTTTGATGGTCGCAGAGCTTGGACAGCCTGCTTCAAATCATCCCACAGATGTTCAATGATATTCAGGTCAGGGGATTGGGAAGGCCGTTCCAGAACATTCTAATTGTTACTCTGCATTAATGCCTGAGTAGATTTGGAGCGGTGGTTTGGATCATCATCTTGCTGAAATATCCATCCCCGGTGTGACTTCAACTTTGCAACTGATTCTTGAACATTATTCTCAAGAATCTGCTGATGTTGAGTGGAATCCATGCGACCCTCAACTTAAATAAGATTAGTAGTGCCAGCATTGGCAACGCAGCCGCAAAGCATTATGGAACCTCCTCAAAATTTTATAGTGGGTAGCAACTGTTTTTCTGGGAACGCTGTTTTTTTGTCTCGCCATGCATAACGCCTTTTTTATGACCAAACAACCCAATCTTTGTTTCATCAGTCCACAGGACCTTATTCCAAAATGAAGCTGGCTTGTCCAAAGTGCTTTTGCATACCTCAAGCGATTCTGTTTGTAGCTTGCTTGCAGAAAAGGCTTCTGTCGCATCACTCTCCTATACAGCTTCTCCTGGTGCAAAGTGTGCTGAATTGTTGAACGATGCACAGTGACGCCATCTGTAGCAAGATGATGTCTTTGGAGGTGGTCTGTGGGTTGTCCTTGACCATTCTCACCCTTCTTCTTCTTCTTCTCTGCCGCTTTATTTTTCTTCGCCTGCCACTTCTGTGCCTAAAAAGAACTGTCCCTGTGGTCTTCCATTTCCTTACTATGTTCCTCACAGTGGAAAGGACAGTTTAAATCTCTGAGACAACTTTTTGTATCCTTCCCCTGAACGACTATGTTGGACAATCTTTGTTTTCAGATCATTTGAGTTGTTTTGAGGCGCCCATGATGAATCTTCAGAGGAGATTCAAACAGGAGAACAACTTGCAACTGGCCACCTTAAGTACATTTTCTCATGATTGGATACACATGGCTTTGAAGTTCTAATCTTAATAAAGTTACCAAACCAAGTTTGTGTTTCAGTAAGTCAGTGAATAATAAGTAAGGGTATTCAAATCAATGAAATAATTAAGGTTTTCAAATTTTTGCACCTGACAAGTTTTGTTTTAATGCATATTGCACATTTTCTGTTATTCCAATTAACCTCAAATCAATACTGAAATATTACTGTGTCATTCAGTTATGAGATATATCAAACTGAAATAGCTGTTGCAAACACCAGAATATTTAGAAATAAAAGTAATTAAGATTAAATGGGGTGCCCAAACTTTTTCATATGACTGTATTATGCATATTTAATTGAAATTAAGGCTGCAACTAGTAATTATTATGGAAATCGATTAATCTGTCTGTTATTTTTTGATTAGTCGGATAGCCAAAGGTTCTTTAAGAAGATTTTTTACTAAATTAAAGCAGGTAAAACTAAAATGTTTCCACTTGAGGAATTCTGGTTAGAGCCCATTGACTGAAGAAAAAAGTTTTTTTTTATTTTAAATGCAAAATGTTTACATATTTTTTTTACAATTTTGACATAATTACTGCTCTAAGTGGGTCACTGTCAGCTAAAGGCATATTTTAGAGTCTCTATACTCCAGTTAATGATTAATCGATTACTATATTAGTTGTCAATTATTTCAATAATCGATTATTCCGATTAATTGTTTTATCCCTAATTAAAATCATCAAGTTGATCCATATCAATGCTGCTTTCTGCAAAAATAAAAAGCCTCAATCTTTAAATTTCCTTCTCTTTCAGCTGCGGCGACCCGAGATCAGCGTCTACTCCAACGTGGATGGCAAACGGTACATGAACGAAAGCCACATCCGCAGGCAGCTGGTCAGGCAGCTGGTGTCGCCTGTAAAATGGGAACAGACTCTCCATGAGATCTACGAGAGGACGCAGGGGGAGCGCTTCCCTCAAACATACGAGGTCGGCCCTGGGAAGCAGCTGGGCGCCACGCTCCAGAAGTGCAACAGGAAAGCGTCTCAGTCGTACTCTCACGTGGACGTCACTGCGAACGAGGAGTGACTGTGCAGAAACGAGGACTCTAAATACAGCATTTTTAGAATAGATCCTGTATAAATTTATATTTAATAAAATGTTTTTTCATAACAAACCAGCCAGTCATCTTTTCTCATCTTTAAGTTTATTTGTAAGAAATGAAAAAGCCTTTTTTTTTTAAATCTGCAACAGAAAGTCCAGCTCCCGTCATTAAATCGCAAGCAAAGCTACATCATTTGTAAAAAAGTTTGGCCTCTTTAACCAGTAAGAAACTGCAAAAAACTGCAGGCCAGAAACAGTCCAGTCAGTTTTTTAGTGCTACAACGTTCTGCCAAACTTTTCAGCAAAACTCCTTTACAAAAAAATCCAAACCAATCGAGCTGCTTTGAAAAATTTAAATACATATTTTTAGTTTTATTCTAAAGAGTTTGCTGTCTATGCTGTCACCGTCAATACAGCTCATAGAAAGGATATCAAACGAAAGGTTAAAGTAAACAGCAGAAACACAAATCAGCATTAATTTTCACTTCTCTGAAAACATTTTTTTTTTCTTTTTGTCAAACATCTTAATGCTTCATCCTGGCCTCTTCTTAGGCTCTCTATTCCTTCCACAGTGCTCCAAAAATGCTTGCTGCAGCCAACAGAGCCACAGCTATGACTGCTCCTCTGGTCCAGCCAGGGCAGGTCACTGCTTTCAAACTGGACACCTAAAAAAATAAGAGAAATTATGGGGATGTCCCGAGCAAGGAAATAGCTCTAGATATGTTAATTCACAGCTAGGTGAAGCAGCTCTGTATCCTTAAATTAAATGGATAATGAAATATTTTGTGCACCTTTTAAGAGTGTTTGACTTGGACAAAAATTGTCATTTCTGTATACACAGTGTTTACAAAACAAAATACTGATGCATACAGCTTTTCAACAGTGAAATGAACATTTCCATTAATAAAGTGCAGCAGTGATGAGGCTGTAAACTGTAGGAGAAAAGGAATCCAGTTTAAGCACATGGTGCAAAAGGCACTGATATGGAAAGGTTCAGTGCAGTGTAAATAAATAAAGATGATGCAAAATGCAGTTAAAAATATTGAGTTAAATTATATTTTAAGGGATTATGAAAAAAAAATTTGCCATATAGTGCAAATATTATGTGTAAATGTGTGATGCAGAGACTTTATTAGTGTCATTATTGGAGTTTTAACAGTATTTCTATCAAATCTTGGATAACTGTCCAAAACATCTAGAAAAAAGGCTCTGTTCTCTTCTAATCGGCTTACTTCTAGGATAGAAACACGAGGCTATGGCATCCATTACCTTATTTTTTTTCTGTTCCATAGAAAGTATTGTCTGAGTTCTTTCTTTAGTTGTGTCTTTTTCCTGGAAGGAGCCAATGGCAGCTCTGCAGTTTTTATTTTTTGTACCTTTCCACACAGTTTTCTCAAATAGAAAGTACTCCTAGTTTCTTTCTGCATAAAGCTACAAAGGCTCTGTGACTCCTCTAAGTACAATCTGTTTCCTTTCCTATAGAGTTAAACCCTCTGAGTCAAAGGGATGAAGCTTTTAACAAAAACACTGTTGCCACTAACCTCACAATGAGGTTTAATCTATCTCCAAATCAATTTAATGACATTTTAGTATCCTTACTTCTTCAAAAACATCTTTAAGCTTTGCAGATATATTTGTTTGTTAGTTTGATATAGAGATGAAATAAGCATGTTTTTTTTAAGCAGGCAACTGTTGCCTTCAGAATAAAAATATCTGCTGCTAAGCATTGTTATAAAATTAAACCATAGAAGTTTTTTGTTAAGGAATTGCTAAATGAAATATTACCCAGGCTGCCACCGTATCTGCTCTTAGGTTCTGCCCAGGCGTAGCGCTGACAATCCAGGCCTTTACCGGAGCCAACAGACCCTGGAAACCCCATAACTGGCTCTGGAGATCCCTGCAAAGAGATAACAACGATATTAAGGCCAACAGGAAATGTGAGATTGAAAAAAACAACCTGTTTTTGTACCTGTAGATGATGCGTGTCAGAGTTTGGGCAGGTCTCAGCAGGTACAGAGGACTTGGCGGCCAGTTTGGATCCCTCCTGGCCCACTCCTGGTCCAGATGATCTCCGATTAGAGCCAACTGTCGACCAACGACCCTCACAGCCCTGTCACGGCTCCTAAACCACGGAAACCGAATGGATTTTTATTTACATCTAACAATAAAACCCAATTATATGAAAGCTCAAATGGAAATCCTTTTTTTTTATTGTTCTTGTTAATGCAATACACATGACAATTCAGTTTTTGCTTGTGTTTTGCTGCTGTACCTGAGGGTCACATCCACCACCTCTCCAGGTCCAGCCTGGAGGGTCACAGCACGGTTCGGACGTCTGGTTTGTTCCACCATTGTGTTTTCTGAAAAAGAGCAACATTTTCAGATGAGTTCTTGTCAAAATAGTTCTATCAAAGCCAACATTAAACATGCAGGTTGGTTTAAGCCTGCATTTGATCATGCATTATCTCCACTGGACTTCTAACGTTCATAAACAAGCTGTGTACATAAGAGAACATGTGACAAGGATGGGTGGCGCCTGTTACCAGGGAGAGAGTCCAGGTAAAAAAAAAAAAAAATGTTTGAAGTGGTGACTTCATTTATTTGATTGCTGCTAAACTGTTTTACTTCCCCAATTTCTAAGAGCTGTACATCTAGAAACATTACCTTTTAATAACACCTTAATAGTGGGCCTTGTTAGGTTTTATTTAAAGTTTTTTTCCTAAATCATCTGTGCACCTGAGCTGAGATCATACCTGTTGTTCTCATGCCCTTTAATGCAAATGACACATTTCCATTACCCAAATCAACCAAACGGCTTTTCTTTCCTCAGTAAGAAGAAATAAAGCATCCCTCACCCTAGATAATCCCTAATAAACTTCAAATGTTTGTATGTTTACAATTTTTCTAAGGTATAATGTATCTCTATAGGTAAATGTGAATTTTAATTCCCTTATAATAATATTTTTTTATTCTCAAAACAAATGTACTTTACGAATATAAGTGTAAATGTGCTAAATAAAACACAAACTAATGTATGCTGAAAATAGCTTCTCTGGTAGCTTGAAGCAGTTTCCCTTATTGTCAAAACAAAAAGATGAAGTCATCCTTCATGCCCAAAGCAAACAAAGGTCATTTGGAAAACCATACTTGAAGCATTTCCCATAAACCCTTCAACTAACAAAGTTTATCCGTTTCTTTGATTTAAGTCAAAGAGGTGTAGAGTTTCATTTGGTAACTTTTTTTTTTATATATGTTTATCGAATGCAATGCTTCCACAGTAAACAGGTGCAGCCACACAGCTAAAAAAGAAAGTAAAATACCTTAAATGTAGATTAAAACGGACGCCGCCCTGTAATAGATACAAAAACCATTAGGATCGGCATTTATATATAGTGAAGAAATCAAATAAATAATCGAAAGACATTTGTACTTACAGCAGCGTCCTTTAATCTCGCTCTTCTCAGGTAAGTTCTGCAAATTGCCGTTGGCCACGCCTTTACCTGCTGCTATTCATTTTGACCGCTAGGGGGAGACAGAAACGATAGAATGGGACCCCATGAGTTATTGGGCATATTCCTAATTTAGTTAAGCTTTTAGCTTTTTTCGCGAGAAATATTTACTATATTATTTATTGGAGAATTAGTGCAGAATAAAGTCTATCTATCTATCTATCTATCTATCTATCTATCTATCTATCTATCTATCTATCTATCTATCTATCTATCTATCTATCTGTCTGTCTGTCTGTCTGTCTGTCTGTCTGTCTGTCTGTCTGTCTGTCTGTCTGTCTGTCTGTCTGTATTAATGAATGAATTCAGAACCTTTTGAATTAACTGATCATATCTTATTGTGTACTTGTACACTGAAACTAAATATTATTGTTGGAGCTATTTATTCTTTATCTCTTTATCCATTTGAATTGTGTTAATTAATGTTTAAATTTATATTTTTTTTAATTTATATTTTTATTTAGAGTTTATTTGTAGGTTTATAATTGTTGGTTCTATTTATGTGATGTGATGGGGATCAGTCTGCTTTCTATAAATGTAGGGGCCTGGGAAAGGACCAGCAGGCATTTTGGATTTGGGGCCTTATGGTTTTTACCTGAGCAAGAGAGGTACGACAAAAGAAACGTTTGAACTCTTTAATTGTTGGCAAAAAATAGAAAATAAACCTTCCAGAACCATCATCAAGACTGGACATTGAACCTTTTTGGCCTGTGTGTAGAAACCTGACCCCGGTGCCTTAGTAGTTCCTTAAAGGACGTTTAATTGGATGTTTGGCTTGGCAAACAATCACCACTACAATTATTGAATATAACAGTGTAACTATTTTTGTTTAGTTTTTTGCTGATTGGCAGGACTACCCTAAAAAACAGGACTTTTATCAAAGTTTAACTATGTCCTAGTTAAAGAATGGTTAAAGTAAACAGAATAAAACAAATATATAGCACTACATTATTATTACATGTGGCTTATATAAAGAACAATATATAGTAGTGAAGTGGATTAGAGCCACTGAAAAAACACAAACAACAAAATAAACTCAATGAAACAAAAAAAAAAGCTATTGATTTCTGACTTTAATCTTAGAATTCGGCCTAGTCCTGAATTTTATCTTCGAATTCTGTCTTTAATCTCAGAATACTACTTTATTTTCAGAATTTTTAATGATTCTGGCTTTAATCTCAGAAATGGCCACTTAAGGAAACAGTAAAGGCTTTTGATTTCTGACTTTGATCTCAGAATTCGCACTTTAATATCAGAATTATGATTATTTTCGGAATTTTTACTTCAATCTAAAAATTCTTACTCTAATCCTGAGAATAAAGTCAGAATGATGAATAATTTTATTTGGAACAATTGTTCTAACAAAATCAGTGAAATAGTGACCCCCTGTGGTCCAAGGAGGTAACTGCACCCTGCAGTGACATCACTGCGTCCTCCGTTGCTAGGTTATTCTCGTAAGCAACATCTCCTGTTTCTGAGACACACCCTGTTAAACATCTACATTAATCTTCAGGTACTCTACTATTTCTTTGTGAGTTATTATTTTTTTTAATCATAAGGACATGTTTAGCTGGAGTTTGACCGTCTTGGGCGTTGTCGTCACCGGTTCACGTCGTCGAAATCGATAATTGCAGCCAGGTTAGCTAACTAAAACGGAGGCTGTGTATGCTAGCTATAGCAGCTTCAGCTAACTGTGATGCATAACTTGGCTGTAAAGCTGTAACGACAGTCGGATGAGACTGCATCCCTAACCGGATGATGGCCGCCCAGCCTCTGCAGCAATCCCGGGAGGATTCAGCAACCTGCTAACGGAGCAAATGCTGATGACTGGCTGTTTCCTGCTACTGATTTGCAGGTACCTGGCGACTTTAACCCAAAACTGCTCCTCAAATGATGTAATAAAGCTATTATAATGTATTTGTTTGTATATGTTGATGAACTCTGACCATATTTGTTTACATGTTTTGAAGGCACCATGGCTGGGAAGGTGAAGTGGGTGACAGACATAGAGAAATCAGTGCTCATCAATAACTTTGAAAAAAGGGAATGGGTCCAAGTGACTGAAAACGAGGACTGGAATTTCTACTGGTAGGTTCTTCAACCTTAGAGCAAATTAATCTGAAAGATCAGGTTGGTATGAATAAATATATATATATATATATATATATATATATATATATATATATATATATAACCAGGGGAAAAAAATCCCATTGAGATTAAAAACCTCTTTTAAGAGGTAGCAAAGTTACATAAGAAACATAGATGCATTAAAATAAATGACAGGTACATAAAAAAAAAACATATCAAGTAAAACAATTACAGATCATTGAGGCTGCTTCAAATACTTTTACTTTCAACTTAATAGCATTTAAAGATAAAAATTCAGTCAACTTGTCATAAAACACGGGACAGATGGACCCAGTATTCAAGGTGAGACAGTCAGTAGGAAAGTTCAAAACGTTTATTAATATAGAAATATAAACAAACAGAAAATAAAGTGGAGCTGCTAGGATCTGCAACTCTCGGATGCTGCACGAGAGAGGTGGGGAATCGACACTGAGGTTCAACAGTCCAGTCCATCTCCCTGGAAAGGGGCGCAATCCAGGCGTAGAGGACTTGCAGGAAGCCGATCCTGGACAGGGATTCAGAACAGGCAGGAACAGACAGAACAGTCAGGATCCAGGCTTCCAGGCAGGTTCAGAGTCCAGAAACGTGACCAGGTGGACACGCACAGGAGCAGACAGGATCAGGTGCAGACGGGCAGGCTCAGTGGAAGAGGGTAGCCAAGACAGGACCTGGAACCAGAACTTAAGCAGGACCTTTAAACTGCTCTCCACCTTGGAGCCAGGCTTACTGGAATTAAAACTGAACCTTCGTGCGTAAAGAGCAAAAAACCCAGAGAAATCAGCAGGGAAGCAACAGTTGACGAGCAGGAGACGAAACAAACACAAAACCCTCTTTCCTCTGGCCTCCAGAACCTTAGAACACTTGAACTGAACAGAAAACATCTAATGATCTGACCATGATAGCTGGAACTGAGCCCAATATAAGGGAAACTGGCAGGTGGATGAGATGAATGATAATTAGGAGCTGGAAAGAGTAAAGCAGGTGAAAGGCATGAGTGATTAAGGCCAGCTATCACAGCAGATCATGACACAACATACAGTTGTAATAGATACATGACACAACTTACAGTCTTTGTAAAAAAAATTCTACACAGAATAAGCTGCGTAGCTAAAGGCTTCCTTCCCTAGTTCTGTGTGGGTAAAATAAACAGTGACCAGCTAATGGTTGGATCTCAGGGCATAAGAAGCCAGGCTTTTCTGTGTAAGTAAGGTACAAATGGAAGAGGGCAGTAATCCAAGAAGGGCCTTGTAAATAAAAGTGTACCAATGACACTGCCTTCTTTTAGAGAGGGAAGGCCATCCCAGCTGAGAGTACAGGTCACAGTGATGTCATGGCTCTACAGTTTGTGATGAACCTTAATAAAACATGGTAAACAGAGTCCCACATTTGAAAAAACGTCAACATAATCTAAGAATGTGGCAGAGATAAGGCACTTTTTTACTCCAAAAGAAAAGAAGAAGCCCAGTTTAACTTTTAATTTCTTAACAAGTTTATCAATAAAAGGTATATAACAAATACAGAAAAAAATGATAGTAGCTTTCCTTCAGAACAGGAAAATCAAGAGCACTTACCTCTAAAGTATAGGAAATTAATACAAGAAATTAACTTCTCTTAACTTGCCTGCATCAAAAATGGGTCAGCCATTCTCTGACTACATGTAAGCTGATTTGATCACCTTTGTTTTCATTGTTTATGAAACTCTGAAAGTAGAAGGCTGCTTACACATTGTGCTATAAGAAGGGAAAACTACACAAGTGGAAACCTATATTCAGAGGAAGGTAAATTTGAAACCATATTGCATTAGTAATAGGGACAAATTAATAAAATCTTTATGTAGAAGTGATGAACGCATTACTAGTAAAGCTATAAATGTTTTGCTTATAAATTTTATCTGGGATTTGGGGATTTATATTTAGATATGATTGGTTTGATGAGGAAATGTTTGATTGTGAAGCAGTTTATATTTTTGAACCTGACTTCCTGAGATCACATTCAAATTCATGTGTTCCAACATGCAGGATGAGCATCCAGACCATCAGGAATGTGTTCAGCGTGGACACCGGCTACCGGCTCTCAGATGAACAGTTAGTGAATCACTTTCCCAACCACTACGAGCTGACCCGGAAGGACCTGATGATCAAGAACATCAAGCGGTACCGCAAGGAGTTGGAAAAGGAAGGCAGTCCGCTTGCAGAGAAGGACGAGAACGGCAAATACATTTATCTGGGTCCGCTTCCTAGCAGGTTGATTTATGTACAGTAGATGTTGATATTTATGTGACCAGTGCTGATGTGCGTTTTTTATAAATTCCTCGTGCAGATTTTGTTCCTGTGACGTTCATGCTCCCTGCGGATTACAATTTGTTTGTGGAGGAGTTTCGCAAGAATCCCTCCAGCACCTGGATCATGAAGCCCTGTGGTAAAGCCCAGGGGAAAGGCATCTTCCTCATCAACAAGCTGTCGCAGATTAAAAAGTGGTCACGAGACAGCCGCACCTCCACGTAAGACCAAAAAAACACGTTCTCCTCGAATTACGAGGGAAAGTGTTACTATGAAGTTCTTTGTGGATGTTGCTGCTGATGCTCAGCTTCATTCTGCCTCCAGGTTTGTTGCAGCATCCAGCGGGAAAGAGGCTTATGTCATCTCTCTGTACATCGACAATCCTCTGCTGATAGGAGGGAAGAAATTTGACTTGCGGCTTTATGTTCTGGTAACGACATATCGGCCTCTAAAGTGCTACATGTAAGCATCCTGTTTGTGCATGGAATATTCACCAGGAAACGACGATCCATTTAATAGATGATAGTTCAGCATTAGAATAAATTAATCATGCTGTAGCCCGTGTAGCTGTGTCTCTTATCTCGTGTTTTTCTGTAAGGTACAAGTTGGGCTTCTGCCGGTTCTGCACAGTGAAGTACACCCCCAGCACCAGTGAGCTGGACAACATGTTTGTGCACCTCACTAATGTGGCCATCCAAAAACACGGGGTGAGTTTCCATCACAGGAAGAAAAAAAACACATTTTAGAAGACTGAAACTTTAATGAACTCAGGATAAGTGCAGAAGTTAGACTCTGATATATTCAAAATGGGAGTAATGTTACTTTAGCTTGACGCTATTAGAGGTATTTCGTTGTCTTAATAATGTTAAAGTTCCACAAAAATGATCTAACGTAGCAGTTATAGAAAGAACTAAAGTAAATACACCCCTTAATTTGATTGCTTTTGAACCAAATCATCATCCTCCCACCTCTGTGCTTAAAAGTTTATTGGATGTGATACTTTTGATTAGTGTCCCTTGATTCAATCAGATAGACTCCTTCCAGTTGTTTGCTAATACTAGATGGGGCAGTATCTAAGCACAGGGTTTCTGCGGATCATTATAAATAATTAAAACTCATTAAATTATAAATTTTTAAATTAAGACCTTAATTGGCATTAAAATTCATTAAATGTGATTATCACGACATTTAAAGTGCTTTATATATAAAAAAAAAAAATTGTCAAATATATCAGATTTAACTGGTTCCATGTGTTTGCGTGAAACTGCTCCTGGTTGATCCTAAAGCCGTATGTGCGGAACAGAAGCTCGAGGCACAGAAAAAGATAGAGAATGGGAAAATGCTAATTTTAACGTAAGTGACTGGAAAACAAGAAATTTGGGACATGGCTGCAGCCTGTCGATGGTAAAGATATTTGAGAGTAATGGGAACTTATTGATGACATTAAAATTATTTCTAGGAGCACAAAATTAGAGTTCCTCCTTCCTGTATAAACCCTGAAGCAACCCGAACAAACAAAACATGTTAGTTCCACGGCTTTCTGGTTCTCTTCTTATTAATGTACATTAGCATGCCAACTTAGGCTTGTAGAAATAGAGGTAGATTTTTTTGTTTTTGTTTTACTTTATGCAATTTCTCTTGAGGTTATTTTAGTTGGACAATCCTCTCCTACCAAAAAACAGCAATTTTATTTTGTGGTTAACGTAACAGGCAGTAAAAATTGCTTTAATGAACGCAGGTGGTGATGGGATCTAACTCTTAGAGATAAGAAGCAGAGATAAGAAACTCAGTTTGCCCATTACAAAACCCACATAAACTACTTCTTTGTAATTTTTTCCCTACAGGATGATTACAACCATGTTCATGGAGGAAAGTGGACCGTCAGTAATCTTCGCTTGTACTTGGAGAGCACCCGAGGGAAGGAGGTGACTAACCGGCTGTTTGACCAGATCCACTGGATCCTGGTTCAGTCACTGAAAGCCGTTGCAGTAAGTTTATGAATAAATGAGCTACAGTTGCTTGTTTCATTTTATTTTTCCTCTATTTCATTTTCATTTTCTTTACTGGGTGTACTTGATCGATGCTGTGTTTTCTTAATATACTGATTATTTTGAAATCAATCTGATCAAACCCTGATATGTGCTGCCGCTTTTTTAAGAAAGGTCCTCTTTATAGTCCAATATTGCTTTCATTTCTCTCTTTACATGACAAGAATGACCGATATACGAGTCTCAGTTTAAATAAATGTATTAACAACATTAATTGTTAAAACATTAACAATTGAGTGGCAATAAATTCGCTTCTCGTAATCTCAAGCTATGGTGACTAAATGCACAAATAAATCATCAAAAACATAAACGTATTGAGTGACACCAATACAAGAAAAAACTGTTATCTCTGCTGGGGTCGCGATTTCTGATCGCTGATTTCTTAAATGTTTTTATACCTTAAAAACTCTTAAAATTTTCTCCTGAAAAAATGTAATTATGCAAAGGTATTCACAGCTCTTCTGCTTTATCACTTGGTCACATTGCAACCCCAAACATCAAAGTAAATTATAATAAATTTTAAACTGTTGTAAAGCTTCTAAAACACATTAAATTCAGCTTGTTTGGTAACATTTACCAAAAATTCTGTAAATAAAAGCCTCTTTATGCTGCTGTAGTTTAAATGAGCTGCATATAAATCGACCTCATAATCTGAAAGCATGCTTTTTTCTTACACCTTAAATAATATATGCTTCATAACATTAAATCCCAATGAAATACTCTGAAGTTTGTGGTTTGAGTGTTGCAAGGTGTAAATATTTATCACACGTTCTTGTGCTGCTGGGGAAGTATTGCACTCACTTATCCATGTTGTGTAATCAGCTTTCAGTGTGCTGAACTGGTTTACAAATACTTCCCTGTATGCACATGTAGCAAATAGCAATGTGTAAACCCCCTGAAATATTACGCCACTAAAAACGTCCTGAAAGCAAAATATGTGCCGACATCTGCAGAAGGGGATGTTTTTTTTTTTATATATAAATTTAAACCTGCGTGTGTAGAATGGAAATGGAGGATTGATTTCAGGAGAGCACCTGTAGGTCTTTGTATCGTTTTTATCCCACAGGACACTTAGCGTAATGCACACTTCCTTTTTCACCTAAGTGTTCTTACCCACTTCCTCTCAAATCACCAGCTGCTAAAAGTTTTTTTTTATGTATTTATGCTTTATTATTTGCTAATAACCCCCCTGATAAATAAATCAAAAATTCATCTTTCTGATTCACTCTGTTTTTCTTCTCCGTTAGCCTGTGATGAACAATGACAAGCACTGTTTTGAGTGTTATGGGTATGACATCATCATCGACGACAAGCTGAAGCCGTGGCTCATCGAGGTGAGTCATGTCTCCAAGCAGGTCACACTATAATGCGTTCACCCTGTAATCCCCAGACTACTTTTTTTGTTTAATGAGTCATTTTGGAGATCCTCTCTCTCTCCTTACCACTGTTACTTAAAGGCCAGTATGATGTTGGAAAAAACTGCTGTCTGGTTGCCTAGTCTCTTAGTTGTATTGTCAGTCCTTTTCTGCTGCTTGTTGGTAATGAGTCCTAAATGGTCTTGGTTGTATTTTTGTGTGTCTCCACCTGTGTGCTGCAGCAGAAAAATGGGCTCGAAATACACTGGAAACAGCTTGATATGTGTTCTTTTCCTTCTTCCTCGACTCGCGATGATTCATATTTACTGCACTCGTTTTGACAGCTGCTGGGTTTCTAGGCTGGGCCTGAGTTATTTCTGATCTGATCTATTTTCAGCGACAGAGTTGGTTGTAGGGCAAATTGTTCCTTCGTGAGGAACATGTTCCAAAAACTCAGTCAGTCTGATCATTAGTCCTACAGCTTTTTTTGGGAGGTATGAAAGCAGCACTCAGTCACAAACAGTCACAAACTTGGATCTGGTTTCTATTGTTTTTGTTCTGCAGTTTTTCACCACCTTTCACTTCTGTGTAGTTTCTTTCTAAGCAGAGCTCACTTCTGATGTGGTTCGCTATTTCAGAGTAACTTTGAAATTCCTTATTTTGTAATATACAATACTTTGACCCCTACACCTGGGCTGAATCATGTTGCTTTTCCCCACGTTTCACATGATGTGGCATTGGGTGCAGGAGTTTGCCCTGAAATCTAAGGGTTGACGGTTCAAGCTCTGGTTCTGGCTTTCAGTGTTGTTGTGTCCTTGGGCAAGACACTTCACCTGCTTTGCCTACTGATGGTGGTCAGAGGGACTGGTGGCGCCAGTGTACAGCAGCCTCGATTCTGTCAGTGAACACCAGGGCAGCTGTGGCTACAATGAATGGCTGAATGTAGTGTAAAGTGCTTTGAAGTCTCCTGACTTGAAAAAGCTCTATATAAGCACAGGCCACATTTCACATGATATTATTTTAAATAATAGGGAAATTGGGAAAACAACAACAAATTGTTTATTGTTTCCTTTAGCTTCTCATTTCTATATTTTAGATGAAAGAAAAAAAATCATCAAAATAAAATCCTTTGATTTTGCAGAATTAATTGCTTGAGGAGAATGAGTGTGTGTTTAATTGTGTGTGTGGCAGATGGGGGCTCGTCCAGGATGCCATCCATGCAATAACTGCCACCACCGCCTGCTTTTAGACAGTCTTTTTTTTTTTTTTTGTATTTTGTCTGTTGTCAGGTTTCTGTCATTTTTGTACATTTTTTTGTTATTTTTACCTTTGTTTTATCTTATTACAAGATTGAAGGTTGGGTTTTCTTTCCTTCTTATTCATTAACCGAATGATAAGATGTAAAATTTGTACATTTCAGCTTTTCAGCTGACATTTACTGGCACCCTAACGTTCTGTAAACCTTTAAAAGTTGTCTTAAAAAACAGACTTTGAGTAACATACTTATTTTCTGTGAAATGTATGGAAAATACATATAACTAAGTATTTTCTGATAATTTATTTTATTTTATCAGGGTTTTAAAATGTGTGATTTCTTTTCTGTCTAATACACTTTAATTATCAGGTCATTTGCAGACAAATTTGGTGTCCTCTACCAGAAAACTTGAAAAACTTATCATGATGAAGCAATTCTGCGCAATAATGATCCAAAACAAATGTGTTAATCGATACAGAAGATAGTGAGAGGGGTTTTGTGTTAATTAACGTATTAGTTTATTATAACATTAGATCATACCTCAATTAAACATAGCATCATGGTGCTTCTTTCCTTTTTCAGCCAAGTAAGAAATAAAAACAATTAACCAAAGGAGTTATGGACTGAACAGTTTGAGAGTAAGTGAGCAGGTGGTCAGTGTTTACTGCTTGCTTATTGACAGGCACATTAGTAGCCACATTTCCTTCCACATTCAGTTTAATGACAGGAAGAAACAAAACAGGTCCGGTTTAGAGCCTGTATTACATTATTGATCCCTTCGCATTAGCTGTGAAGTCATTCAGGATTATTTTTATTACCTAAATCTCCCTTCCTGTTCTTCAATATCAAAGTTGTGGTTTATATGAATCCTTTAGGTTAACGCATCCCCGTCGCTGACCTCCAGCACAGCCAATGACCGCATACTGAAGTACAACCTGATCAACGACACGCTCAACATCGTCACACCAAACGGGGAGATCCCAGATTGCCGCTGGAATCGCACTCCGCCCAGAGAAGCTCTGGGGAACTATCAAGTCCTGTGAGTGACTTTAATACACATAACCCTCAGCTAACAAAAACACTTAAAGAGACCCTCATTGAAGATAAAAACTTACCATCTAGACTTCAGCTTTTATAGGTGGTGAAAATCCCCTTTACTAGCTTGGTGTGGTGTAATTTAAGGTTTAAAAACTCTGGAGTGTTTGGGTTTAAATTTGGCTTGAGGGGAAATTTAAATGGAAAAGGATGAACAGAAATGTTAACTAACCATGAGACATTAATACATACAGAGTGAAATATTTATATTTTTAATCAATTTAAAATTACAATTAACAGTTTGATTTGATCATTTAAAACACCTTTTTTAATTATTTAATTGCACATTTAATTATCAAATTAATGGTTGATTTAATTATTCATTGGAATATATATTGCAGCTTTTGTTTATTGCCTGGTATATTCACATTTATTTATTTCAGGCTTTATTTGTTTATTTATATATGTCCCTTTTAATCCTCCATACTAAAGATGCATATAGTAATAGTGGAAATGAATAAATTTTAGCAACAATAGGAAGATTGATGTTAAATAAAAGCTATTACATTCCTTATGAATACCATAGTAGCATTGTTTATTTTACACATAGTTGTCATACCTGAAATGTCTCACATAGTATCATGCTTAGTTCATGTTGGATTTTAACTTTGTTAATAAAGCAGATGGTTTGGGAAAAATTTGCAATGCAGCTAATGCATATTATCTTATCTTATAATGTTTTATTTTTACAAATTTAAGTGATAATTTAATGTACTAATGAACAGAGAAGTCAAGTAAATATTGTGATTTTGCTCAGTTGGTATAGCGGAGAACTGTAGAGGACAAGTCTGTAATCCTTAGGAGTAACTTTTAGGACAAAGGTTGAGGCACACACAAAAGGAAACATTAGCTTTGACCTGTTTTCTCTTTCTTTTGTCACTAAACCCTTTGGAGATTTATTTGTACCCTAATGTAATATATAAACACATCTCTGAATACCTAAAAAAACCCATTAAATATCAAACAAATAGTTTCTTTATTGAGTACATATTAGCTCAGAATTTCTCTTAGAACAAACATGATTGTTTCCCTGTTTTTTCCTAATCATTTTATGGTTTGTGTGCTGCAGCTGTCAGTCTTTATCACCATAATCAGTATAGGTGGTCATTAGCTGACTTGATTTGCAGGTTAACCAGTCAAACATTAAAGCATATTAATGATCCACAGAAATCATTTAAACTGTTGCACTGCACCACAGGAAGCTTAACAGTATTTGAATAAATGCTAAAATAATGATGTAGGAGCTCTTTTGTGGATAGTTTGGCATATTTTTAAATGTATCCAGGATTTTATCTGGTTAAGTATTTTTGTAATGTACAATAAATGAATAGAGGTGTGAAACCTGTTTAGGCTGGGCTCCTTGTTTACACACTCCATGTCAAAGGGAACAAAGGTGGAAACCGGATCTCAGCCATGCTGTTTGTTTTTCACCAGGTATGATGAGGAGCAGGCCCAGAGCGAGAACGCTGAGCGTGACCTTCGGGGCCGCTCAGGTCAGCTGCTGGGTTCAAAGGGCACGAAGGGGACAGCTAGCGCCCGTTCCGCTGCAGCCACATGGAAATGAGGCTGTGCTACCGACTCGGAATGACTTCCTCTGCCTTACTGTGGGTTACAAACCTATTGCAACAAAACAAGGACCACCCAGACCTTTTTATCCCAATCCAGCCTCCATTCCTCTGACTGTGGCACACTGTTGTTTAAATATGGAGTAATCAGCAGAGTTGAATCAGCATCTGGACTGTGATTGTTGGTAGGAAATATGTTCCTGATACTGCGGATCAGAATCCTGCGCTATGCATGACTGTCAATTAACTGCACCTGAACCTGATGTGTCAAAATGGGTGCTATCATAGAGGCTGTTATACTGAAGGTGAAAGACTATGCTTGAAAAAGGAGGTATTATGAATGCAAATGGTTTTAAAGTGAAATAGTTTATATGCAGAGTTAGAAATACTAAATGTTTATAGAGTCCAAAATGTTTTTTAAATGCTCATTACAAAGACTCTACTCAGTGCAGAATACTTTACACACTTTACTGTGTTTTTCTTTTTAAATTTCAAATTATTATTATTATTCTTTTTAATTTTGACCAATTAAATATGCATTACATCACAACTCTTATAACAATGTCTATTGAATTAGAATAAAAGTCATACATTATTAGGGATTTTCAACCAATTTAAACACTGCTGATGAATAAAAATCCAATTTTTAAAACTTAGTAGAATAGGGTGGAAATGATAATGGAAACCTTTTTATTTTGTTTCATTAGACAAACGGAACAGATGATATTTAATAGAATTTAACAGATGTGTATTACTTTTCAGGGGATGAGTCACAAAAGGTGCAAATCACCATGAAATGGGTAAATATTTTTAATTTGTGGCCAAAGGTAAAGATTTTTGGACCCAAACAAAAAAAGAAAATAAAGAGATTAAAGATTAAACTTAAATATGCACTTTGTGAGATAACTGTCAAAATGATTTAACTTTTGTGAAAAAAATGGAAGAAACTTGCTTAAATGGATGAAGGAAGGTGTGCTATCTAATTTTGATTAAAGCTGGTCATTCCTATACATCATTTACTCTGACTCGATTCCTTTTAATGTCTCCTGGTATAATGATGATGTATATAAACACAAAATGATTTTATAATTTTAATTTTATTATTTGAAAGCACCTCATCATTTTCTATTAAATCCTCTTTTTTATTGCCATGCAATGCTAAAGAACCCTAAAGCAATTGATTTGTGTATTTATGTTAATCCAAGGTTTATTGAAAACAACTTTTTATCATCCTGGTTTAAATGGGTTTTTTTTTTTCTTCCTTTTTTCGTCACACATTTCCTCACTGCTAGTAAAGCTGCTACTGTACCAAAGAGCAGCATAGAAAGTTTTAAAAACACCAGATGTACAAATTTGTGGATCAAATTCTGGCATGTGAATTTCTAACCGAAATCTCAACAGCATGCATGACCTGAGCTGCACATCCAGCTGTGTGGATAAATCTAGTGAGAGGCTGAGGGAAATTCTCCTTTTTTAAGGAATTGGGTAAAGCCATTACTTGGTTCCCACTTGGGGTTTTTACTAATGTGATCAAAACCAAGGTAGCTTATAACACTACCTGTTTACAGTCACGAGCTGATTCTGGATGTGCCTTTTTTGACCACCATAAGGATTTCAAGGTAAGGTTTTAAAAAAGAGGATTTTTGCTCAGCCTACAGTAAGGTTTCGCTGTAAGTTTAGCTTCATTCATGTTTCTCTGTTAAAGCTCTTTAGTTTAAAAAAAGAACAAACTTAAATCATACATTGTATAACTTAATAATAGCTGTGGTCAAATTGAAGCTTGAGCTCATTTCTTCTGCGTAAGAGTTTCTATTTGCAGTAGTTAGTTGAGAAAAAAGTTTCCTTTCTCTGAGAATAGTTTTATTGCTATCTTTGTTTATATATATATATATATATATATATATATATATATATATATATATATGTGTGTGTAGAGTACATGTGTAAACAATGTTTTTTTTTCTAGGCATGTACATTTGAACACGTATTAAGTGAGCTCAACACTTCATTCCTAATTTGCATTGTTTTTTATCCTTTATGGAAGCTCTGACCTTACATTACCCCAACATTTTAGTGCTTTTCATGAATCTACGTAAAATTCTTTCAGCCATTCATCTTGACAGAATTTAATTGTACGGAAAAAGTTGCACACACTAGGTGATGAATGTTCACCCATATCGAAAGGCTAATTTAATGTTAGCATATATATTATATTTAACTTGGAATTATGTCAAGTTAATCTGATTTTAATTAAGAGAAGATTAACTGGTCCAATGATTGAATGCACCCCAACACGCATGTTTGGAACAAGATTTAGTTCTAGCATTAACTGCAATCGGATTAATATATTTAATCTTTATTTTTAGTAGTAAATCTAAGCCTCTAAAATATTTGGAAAGGGTCACCCTAAAATGTTTTAAGGATGTTACGTCAGTTAGACATCCTGTTAAAGTTTGCATTAAGCTGCAGTGACGTCAACTTCCCTAAAGATATGAACATTTGCTTTCAAAATAAAAGCTTTTCGCTTACACATCCCTCCAATGATGTTGAAAACTTATTATTATTTTGTAAAAAGAAAACTCATACGTGCTCATACGGAGCACTGCTAATTTATACGACTTTGGGTAATTTAGTTAGTTAGTTTTTAGATATTTTAGCCTTCATTTTGACAGACCGGCTCTTTTTAACCTTCAACATCGGACTGTAATCATTCGTATAGTTTTTCGTTTTGTTAATGAGTAATATCTACATTTGTAAACTGGCTTTCTGGTTTTTGAAGTGGCTGCCCTTCCTAAAGATATAGAAATGTTGGCCTTATTTTGAAAATCTCACCGGATATAGAGTGGTAATGGCGTCCGAATAAAATTTGACTTAAAAGTCAGTCAGTTGATCCTCGGTGCCGCTGCTGGGCGGAAAAGCTGTTAAAAGACTTTCTCACTGGAACCTCCATATCCACGTATTGTTTTTAGGTAAATCCGAAGAGAAAATAACGACAATATCTACTTAAGGTGAGTTTTGCGTGAAGAGTTTTAAATTTCAACAGTTTTGTAAACTTTTTGTGTTCGGGGCTGTGGCTCTTTCGCTAACATTAAAGCTAACTATGGGCTAACTTTGTTCTTTCTTCTAAATTAGGAGATGTGGGTCTGCAGTGCAGCATTAGTTGCAGGCAGTAACAAATATCAAAGGTTTATTTTAACTAAATACAGCTGTATACTCTCGAGCTGAAACGCATTCACCGTTGACTCCCTGAGTTGCTTTATAATTTGCTTTTGGGTCATTAAAAGTTCACAGAATCAAGCTAGACCAGCAATGACGTCGTTTGCTAAATGCACTGTCAGTAATGCCGGGATAACGGCTAATTCATTTAATTTATATCTTTGGTTGTCTGTAGAGATAAAGGGCGGGGCGGGTTTCGCAAGTGTAGAAAGCCTCCTAGTGCATGTCATTTCGACTAGGGCTCACAACATTACAAAATTAGCCCAATCACTCCTCAAAGATTGGTTCGTCTTAATGTTGTTTTGTTGTTTTTTTGTGTTTTCTCTTCTTTACTCTGTCAGTTTTACATAGTAACAGTCGGTTGTCAAGTTTCAGCCTTTCCTATTTTACCTCTAGTGATATTCTCAAGAGCCTCTCCCTGTTGCTTTAACCAAATTATCAAAGTTTATAAATGATTTGAATTCATTTTCATAACAGAAGCAATTTAAAATAATGGCATGGATAGGAATAAGATTCTGAACACTAGCAGATTAATCGTAGCGTGTCAACACCATTGATTGCTCTTGCATGAACCCCTCCTGCTCTGACTGATGGGCTTCACATCATCCTCGAAAGAATTAGTCATCCACAGAAAACATTCAGTCCAGATGTAATGTTGGACATCCATCCTTTATCTATACCATCATTATAAATGCACTCTCCTTTTTTTTACAGTTAATTTTAAATAATTAAATTTTTAATTTAATGAGTTTTTTTTTTATCTAGATATGATCCAATCCTTTTTATATTGCCTAGAGAAGGCTGAGATAGCCTGTTAGTTTCTCAGCTAATGGAAAGCTCACATCAAATATGTTTAGGGTAATCACCTAGCCATACTATCTAAAACAAATGTCTATACATTTACAGTGAGGACATTGCGTAAAATATGCTGTTTTGCTACACAGATTAATAGTTATGTGGAATTAAAGAAAATATAATATTTTCTTTTTATACATTTTGCACTTTAAAGGGCAGAGCAAGCGTTAAAGGCCGATCTCGGCTGATAAAAGTTGATAAATATTTCTTGCTTTTCATTTCAGCTGGGTGGCAGTTAGTTGCAGAGGGTGGGGTAGGGGCTGTGATGTGTCATTCTATGCTTTTGAGTGGCATGGCTGGGTAAGGCAGAAGATGTGTAATGCTAGGGGCCAGTTTCTCGTCAAATTTGCTAGGAAGGTTGTTGGAACGACGGGTATCATGAATCCTTTCGAATACCTAAAGATTTTTAAAATCTGGTGATCTAAACAGCTGTATAATTTCTACTTCATAATGACATGAACTTTTCACAAAGTAATGTTTATTCTGTGAAATGATCTCAGTACTTAGATTTTGGGAAATTTCAGTGAGGAAAAAAAAAATCCTTTTGGTTTTAACAGAAAAAAGGGAACTGGAAATGAATGTGTTACTGTGATAAAACGGGGAGCTCACTGCACCTGTAGTTAGGCTACTACTTAATTTGATTCAAAATGAAAAAAAATTTCTGTTTTTTATCAATTTTCCCCAAGTATAGGAATAGCAGCTTAATTTTCTTTCTTTCAGATGTCGGACATATATGTGCATTGATTTAAACCTCTGAAATGTAAATCTCTAGCGGAGGCAGGTTTCACCCACAGTTTGTAATGTATAGGAAAATGTTAAGGTGCAAATGAAGTTTAATAATACCACAGCATGCTTAGTCACATAAAACAGGGAACTTAAGCTATCCTGAGGATGACAGTCAACACCTAATGGCTCCTTATGAATCAGTGGAAGTTTGCAGCCACCATACAGCTTCAATGCTCAGTTTAAAATCTACTCTGGCTTTGTGATTCTTGTAGGACCATTATTAGGGTAAAGCAGTAGTGAAAATTCAAACTTCCTCTTTTTCTTAGAGGCCAGTGTGAACTGAGTCCTCCATAACGGAATCATAGCTAAGTTTTCTCATTTAGACTGAAGTTTTCTCCATCAGACTGGAGGCAGCTGCTTCATTTGGTTCATCTTTTATTAGAAGATTTACTGGATCACCCAGGAAGCAGCTCAAAGATATCTGCTCCTAAGGATCTCTGTTTGCGGGCATAGAATCCTCAGTTTACAGTGGAAACAGTTTATTATTTCAGCACATAAAAAAAAAGCTAGTTTCTGCACATGGCTTGCGTTTGTAAAATTTTGCTGAAACTTTTGGATATAGAGTCAAGGGGATTCCACTAGGAAAAAAAAAAGTTCCCTTCTGTGATGTAAGGATCTCCCCTTCCCTTTCATATAATCCGGTTTCCCTCTATTATGTTCCCGTCCTGGTTGCTGGCTTGGTCAGTGGAAAATGCCTGAAGATGTGGAACAAACGCTATTGTTTTTCACCGTCCATGAAGGGTGCAGTAGGTGTGTTGTGCTGTCAGAAGGGTCCATTATTTTTAGGTTAACCTGCTGTTGATATACTTGTAAAATGTCTTACTATGTTACTGCTAAATCCAGTGATGTTTTTAAGATGAGGGTAAGATGGTTTGTAATGGAAAGTCTCTACATTTGGGTACAAAACGTACAAAACCCCGCAAAATCAGCAGATGTCATGTGCAGATGTTGAGCTCACACAAGGAAGAAGGTCAAGGGTGACTGACTGAGAGTAAAATGAGTTTATGTGCTTATAAGATAAAAAAAAAAACGGTTAGTTTTTTTCCCCTCTTGTATTAGCCTGTTGATTTTAGGCAAACTCCTGCTGTGAAGTTGTAATAAAAAGGGGATATATCAGCTCGGCCTCCCACTCCTCCTGAGAGATATTGCAACCTTTTTATGCAACATAGGAAACATAAATGGACTTAAAAAAAACATATCCTGTTCCTACTTGCTAATGTAAGCAGGTTTTGCTAAATTAATTGTCTGAAGTTGTATGTTGTATTTAAGCTTTGGAGTTGTGTAAACACAGCTGATATGGTGGCGAGTAGCATTTGCACTGAGGTCAATGGACTTTAAATCTGTTCTTTGCAACCCAAATTAAATGTGAAAGATTTTTTTTTTACTCGGACTGTACAGCAAGCAAAGGTGGTTAAATCATTTATTTTTTATAGAAAACGTGCAACTTGATGACTATTTCTTTCACTAACAGTTGCTTAGTGCTGAAATGACTGTCAGGAAAGTAAATATAAATAAAAAAAACTTTGAATAACTACATCTGTTAGGCAGGTTTTCTTCTTGGGGGGTGGAAATGATTAAACCAAAGTCTTATATCCATCCCAATTTCTTACTCCTATAGTAGCACATGAATGTGACGTGTAAGGAAAGGGTAGTGATCTTTCAAAATAGGTCTCCAAGAGTGCAGCGTCAGTGAAGCAATATAGACTTCCAGCTGTATTAGCAGCGAAGGCAGACATTAAAGCTAGAGTGTGTAACTTTTAGCGACATCTAGCGGTCAGACTGCAGCAACATGAACATCCCCCCCCCACCGCTTCTCCCCCCAACAGTACGGCGAGCGTTACGGGACAAAATGTCTTCCAAGACGTCCGCATCACCTACCTTCTCAAGTGATGAGGTTTGTTTACATAGATAATTTTACAGATAGTATTTCATGATCAGTACCGTCTCAGTTCATCTCTCTCAACTTGCCGTAGTTACTTTCGAGCGTTTTTGGCGATCTCGCAATCGCTAGTTTGTTGGCTCTGCGCTGCCGTAGCGCAAAGATGTCTGCCTCCATGGCTGCGAGACCCGCTCCTATGTAATTATAAATAACGAATTCTAAGGCAACGCAAATATTAAGGTTAAGAGGCTGAGCTCGTAGATGATGATAAATAACATAGTTATGTATAATATATTACATTTCTGACTGTATATCCCTGTAATTATTACACAATGTAGCTTTAAGGGGTATTTCTTTCCTCAGGGAGGGTGAACACAAATGCATTTTGAACTTTTCAGATTTTGATTTTGTGGGGAAAAATATGTCTTATTATCCTCCTACTTCCCAGTTATACAAAAAAGGAAAGGTTCAGAAAATATGAGTTACTTTGACATGGTGTGTATGTCTTAAATAACAAACAGACTTCAATAATAAAGTTGAATTTAAACATAAAAACCTCTAAGAACACACATCTCAAATTCTAAAGGCTGTAGATGGGTTTTGTAGCCTCCTTGTTTTTGCAGGAATCTTAAATATAACCTTGTAATATAAATGTAAACAGTCTTTGGAAAGGCATGCTCAGGCCTGTCCTCTGTCAGATAAGTTTATTCACAAAACCCTGTTTTTTTTCCTGCTTTTCAACTTTTGTTGCACCGTTTTTTTTTTTTAACAGAGGCAACCCTTTTCTGAAGAATTGTCAGCTGTTAGGATGGAGACTGTACTATTCAGCCATCTTTAGAATTAGCAAGCGCTGCTTTAGAGTTGCTGATCTCGCTTGCAGCGTGTGTCTGTTGCTGAGGTGTGAATCTCCACATTGTCAGCATTTTGTAGTGAGCTTTGATGTTCGTTTAAAAGCACATAATCATCTCTTATTAATGTCTAAATATTGTACCTGTCTGTCAGTCTTAGTAATATGACATATTTGTATGTAAATATGATTTCAAGGTGCAATATCACTGAAAAAAAGTTAGCTTCACATGTCATAAATTGCTTAGTTCAAAACTACATAACTGTTTCCATAATTATTAATCTGTTAACATAAAACACTGGAAAAGCATTCCTTAGAAAAGATCTCCGCCAAGCAGGAAATTTTGCTCCATATTTTGGCTTACACCTAAAGCTAAAACTGGCACATGATCTGGATCATTACCAAATGTTTTGCTCTCACAGTCTTCATTCACTCTGCTTTCTTGTTTGATGTTTGATTGTGTTTTTGCCTTTAGTCTTTTGAGTCCAATGCTGAAGCTGTCAATAGTCCCTTCTACCACCCTCTGGTTTAGGGGGTAACTGCTTGTTCTTCAAAATTATGTTAAAGAATTCCTTTAAAAATTCATACACCCAGATTATGATGTTGATTATCACAAAAAAATTAATTCGATTTTCAAGTTATCCAGTACACAGACGGACGGAAAAACAAATAAACGCCCAAATTCAACTAAAATCCTCCTCCTCGGCCGTGGTAATAAATATTGAAATAAGTAAGTTTTTTTTAAGTTTGCATGATTTGTGTTTGGAGCTTTGTTTGCCTATTTGATAGCATGCCAAGGTTCAGTTTAGGCCTGGGAGCTCTGAGGAATGCATCTGTTCATGTCTATCTTAAGGCCGTTGTCAGCAGCCAAATTCCACTGTGCTTAGTAGGAAATTTCCCTGTCAACATTTAGTGGGTATCACTGTTTTCTTGATTATGTAATCTCCAAATCCTGTATCCTTAGACTCTTTAGCAGAGTTCATGCAGCCTTGGAGGAAATCTTGTATTCTGACAAATACTTTGGTTTCTGATGTTATATCTTGATTTTAGAGGCTTAACATTATGTTCTAGTCTCCAATGGATGTTTTTCATCTTTTCCTCTTGTGAGGCACTAAATGGTGTTGAACTTTCCAGGTTGCTCCTGCAGTGTGGTGGACTGGGTGGACTTTAGACCGCAGCATTGTTTACAGTTATGGGTCAGGCTGCGTTTGATTGTTTAAAAAAGTCCCACCGTGTCACACAGAGCCTAGGGTGTGCAGGCATTTTGTTTCCATTCAGTGTTCCCATTATATTTGGAGGAAGAAAGAGCTTTTATGGTGAAGAATTACCTAGATATCATTACTGGGATCTTTTTTTTTGTTATTGGTGTGCTAATGTTGGCTTATACTTTGACAACAAGATTGGTTAAATGTTTTTTTTTTTTTTTTATTCATCAACACAATTTTAGCTGCGTAACATGTATATTTCATCTGAAGGAAACGGTTATATTTATTTACTTGTTATTCTGTGATTTTCTGGAATATTTGAGTCAGCTGATATTTAGAGATCTTTGCCTTCCTCAAATGCCTCCTCTAGTATGGCAAAGTTTTCAAGTTAAGGTTATATACACTTAATAAGAAAGGACCGCCTGTGTTTCATTGTTGAAGTATTGTCGTAGCATAAGTTCCCTCTAAAATATATTGGAAGTCTAACTTTTAATCTGTTTTGTTTTTTTTTCAATAAGGAAAAATGTTAAGCAGTGGTATTTTTATTTTAATTTTTTTAAGAACATTTTTGTCTTGAAAGATTTACCCCTGCAAAGATTGGGATCTTTGCACAATCTCTCAAGATCAGGGATCTCCAATCCCAGTCAAGTTGTGTTGGAACAAGGATGCATGTAAAAGTTTCAGGAAAGTGGAGGCGCCTGCTCTTTATTGTCCACTTCCTGGGTCCTCTCTCTTATCTTCTCCTCTTTTGCCCATTCCATTAGCTTTCTTTAGAATTAAAGTCATAGAAGTCAGATAAACATGACAGAAAATGTTTTGGATCACTAAAATATTTTCCGCTTTCTGTCATTTGCAAAAACTATTAAAAGCAACATTACTGTTTCCTGTAGGAGAGATGCAGGCCCACAACATCACCGACTCTCTTCTGTTTTTGCAATAGATGCCTTTCCATATTTAGTTTGTGGGGTTTATTTGGGGGTTGTTTCACACTAGAACCATCTGTATTTTTGTAACTAAACTAATCAAGACTCAATCTTCAGCCTTCTTTGTTTCTATTGAAGAGCAGCTAAAACAGTTTTTGTGAAATAAAATATTTGCATGTCCTTACCAGGAGTTTTGATTGCAGAGGGTTCTGCTTAGCTTTCTTTTTTAGTAACATCCATCAGTCTGACAGCTTGTTTTTCTAAGACTTTCTTTTAAAACAAAAATAGATCCAGCATCACCAAATTTTTCAGCTGTCTGTAAATTTTTCAGCCGCAAACACAGAGTCGTCCGTCATCAAGACCATTATTCACAGCAACTCTGCGTAAATTTGCATCTCCAGCAGTGCTAGATGCAATCTGCCGCATGTTCACAATTGCTGGTGCATTTTTAAAAGTGCCCGTTTGAGCTACCTGACTGTGGATTCAAATGGCATTAAAAGGATGATTGTTCATGCCGTCTGTGAAAACCACAAAGCTGCCCACTGTCCAAGAAGTCCTCTGGAGGGCACAGATCACTGACCACTCATCCTCTGGCTGTCCCACTTCACTGAAAGAGACCCAGTGTGATCTTGGCTGCATGATGGATCTTGTTTGACTTGAATTTGAATTAGAAATAAGAGTTTTTGTTTCATGATAAAACGTTGGTTGTACTTTAGACTTGTTTAAGAAAATCAAGCAAAGATTCGAGAAATGTAGGATTTTCTGTCTGAGTAAATTAATTAAAATGCAATATGTTGTTTTTTTTCTCCTAGAAATCTTGGAAATATTTTTTTTAACCAGAGCATATTATGGGCCTTTATATTGAGAATGTTCTGAGAATACTTAAAGAAAAGAAATTTAACTAGACATGAGATGTATAGCTCTGTTAATTTTTGTCTCTATAAATAAGATGTGTGATGATTAATATAAACAGTAGGTTCAAAATCAAATGGGGGGAATAAATGGGAATATTTAGATAAGAATGGCTCAGTCCTTCCATTAGAATCCCACTGAGACCTGAGAATGTGCGATGGCTGGTTTCCCAGTCTGAGGTGAAGAGCAGGTTTTCATCCACATTGTCCTTGTACATTGCTGCATTCATATTTCCCTCTAGCTGAGTAGTTTTCAAATTTTTGTGCTCAAAAATCCTGCAATGCTGCCACTACCATGCTTTACTAAGGGATGGTATTGTCCTGGTGATGAGCGCCGCTTGGTTTAACCCAGGCATGATGTGGCGTTCACATCAAAAACTTAAGTCTCATGATCTGAAAATCCTTAAGGTGTCTTTTGGGAAACGCTTTTTTGATGATGGGGTTCTTGATCCTCTCCTTGAAGGCTCTCTCCCCTGGTCATATAGATTAACCCGCCAGCACTTGGAAGAATCCTGGTGGTTCCAGAATACTTCTTATTGCTAATAATGGAGGCCACTATGCTTATTGTTTATCTTCAAAGCGGCAAAAATGTTTGGGTTTTTTTTGTGCCTCAAGACAATTGTGTCTCAATGGTCTACAGATAATCCCTTTATCTTCATGACTGGTGTCGTCAAAATCTGTTCATATCAATAAAGTGTTACAGACAGGCTTTCTTATATTCATAACCTTCATAATATATTGAATTTTAAGGTTATGAACACTTATAAACAGCTGTTGCTGATTTTAGGCAGCAATTGTTTTGACGTTTTTAAATTTGTTGAGGCATGTTCATCCTGATGCAATTTTCAGTTGCAAACTGTTATACACACACTCCGCTTTGTTTTAAAAAAAAATATAAAAATAACCACGGATGTCTGGGGGACAGTGATTTGCCTGCATGTTATGAATGCTGGCGTACCATAAATGATAAATTATGAACAGTTTAGTTTGTGCCTTCAAGTCGTTGCGCATAGAAGGACGTTACTTGGATATAACCTAACCGACTATCTTCAGAACAGCTCCAAATGACACAAAACTAACATGGATGAGTAGAACATGATGTAATAACGTAAAATCAAGGGCCCGATGTTAAAAAAAAAACAAAAAAAAAACCGGCGTTCCCCTTTAAAGCTTGATATAGTTATAGTTTAAAGTGATGGGAGACTCCAGCTGTAAAGAGGATTCAGGATGATGAGGAAGGAGGAACACTGAAAGAAGAGGATGGGGAGATAGAATGAAGCGGTGAATACGAACGAGAAAGTATTGAGTTGGGAGGCTGTTGAGCTTCAAATGATGGACGTGGTGGGGAGAAGCCTAACAGAGGGCTGAGTGTTTTCCTCGTCTCAAGGAAACGGAAGCAGCCTGCTGTGTGTCCTTGACAGTCGCTTTTTGTTTATCTCTGCCAGAGCAGAGCCTTGGTGCGTCTCCAGAAACCTGTGCGGTTTCACTTCACTGTATTTAAGGGTTAAAAGGGTCATAAAACGGGTTGAAAAACGCCCACCTGCTGCCCAGATTATCAAAGCTGATCTCAAACGCTCTTTGTTCCTGAATTGTTTCTCTGAACTGCTTGGTTATCCTCCTTATCGGATCCGCAGCTCTACTTTCCGAGGAATTTTTTTCTCCAACAGGCTGTTCGAATTTTCTTCCTTAGTTGCCGTATTTATCTTTAAGAAAAAGAATTTGATTAAATCAAATTCAGCATCTAAAGGATGTTTGTTATTTTTGCATTATAAACTTGGAAATGAACAAAGCCAGTAAATATAGAAGAGTAAAATTTTTTCTTTTTACATAAATATTAAAAACAATAAAAACATTTATATTTTCAAGGCTATTGATGCAGGGGCAGAAGAACAACACTTTGTTGTGTCTAATTAAAAAAAATACTCTATCATAGTACAGCTTTAGATACTGTGACGTTTCAGATGATTTGTTTTATTTTAGTTTGATGCATGTTGTTGTTTGTCTTTTTTTAGGTCCTGTGTGCTGAGTGTAATCTTAGGCAGCAGCGATGTCGGGCGCCTACGATGACTCCATGATTGATGTCTCCAGTGATAGCTTCTGGGAGGTGAGGCGTTTGCGATCTTTGTTTTGATGACAAAATCTCTCTCGTGTCATTCAGAGATCTTCTTCTGTCCTTGCGTGCATCAACATCTCAATTTCAAAACAAGTTGAGGGGGAAAAAACATTCTGCCCTTTCATTTGTTGTGACTTTTCTGAAACTTAAAAAAAAATAACTAGAGAGGGAAAGTGGAGTCCTTCTCATGCCTTTTGGTTTTGGTCCTGATTTATTTCCCCATTATAAATCCTGCTGTATTTATTATTCTCAGGTTGGTAACTACAAACGCACAGTAAAGCGGGTGGACGATGGCAGCCGGCTGTGTAACGAACTCATGAACTGTATTCATGAGCGCGCTCGTATTGAAAAGGCGTACGCACTGCAGCTTACAGAATGGGGAAAGCGTTGGCGACAACTTATAGAGAAGGGTAAGAAAACGAACACGAGAAAAAAAGCTTAATGTGGATTAATGCTTTTGCAAGGCTGTGTTCGCTACCAAAGCTAACTCTAACAGCCTAAATAATGTCTCTAGGCCCTCAGTACGGTACGCTGGAGCGAGCATGGGTCGCCCTGTGCACAGAGGCAGAGAAGGTCAGCGAGCTCCACCTGGAGGTCAAAGCAGCTTTAATGAGCGAAGACTTCGAGAAGCTGAAGAACTGGCAGAAAGACTCGTACCACAAACAGATGATTGGAGGCTACAAAGAAACCAAGGAGACTGAAGATGGTTTCCGCAAAGCTCAGAAACCCTGGGCCAAGAAACTTAAAGAGGTGTGAGTTTGAACTTGTAACTTTGAGACTTATCAGCAATTATTACACGGGTCTTGTTCTAAATTATAAACAATGATAAAGTACATTACTTAATCAGTTCCCATGATTTTATCAGCTTATCTTTGTTTTGTCCCCTCACCATGACAACAGTCCTGTTAAATAACAGCAGAAGCAACGTCACCCCTGAGTGTACGAGTTATCACCAGACAGGTCATGGTGCCAGCAAGCTGTCCTGTGTGGGTTTGAGTCAGTGCAAAGGAAGGAAACAGTGAGGGCTTTACAAAGAAATGAGCCACTCTGTATATTCTGGTGCTCTGCTTTTGTTTCAGCAGCTGGAGTTATTTTAATTTCTCAGTTTCTATTAATGTAAGAACATAACCTAAAAAGCCACTGAAGAGTCTGCAACTCTAGGTCCTCTCCCCTCACTTCCTGTGTCTGTGACTTGACAAATTGATGGTATTCTGCCACACACTACAAGCGGTTTAGAGGTTGCGCTAATTGACTATCATGCAAAAATAAATTAAGGTAATCAACTTGGTGAGTAGTATAGGCAGGGCATCAACAATGGACACAACCTCTATCTGTGGTAGTCAGACTAGCAGCTTCATATGCTAATTGAGGAAACTTCACATTTAAATAGCTTCTTTTTAAACATCCTGCATAAAGGTTATAAACTCTCTGGGTCATAATAAATCGTTGTAAACTCAGCAGCCATCTTTGTTTCCATTTAACCTTTTCTTTCCATCCATAATCCTTAAATTGTATTATTGTGTGTTATTTATAGACCTATACCCACTCTCTCATCCATCAGTTGGTGTTTCCTTCTGTTCATCTGTTCACCATTTTTATGCTCTTTACCCATCTTGTCATTCTTCCATTGTCTGTTCATCTTTTTCCTATTCTTTGTCTTCCTCACTATCAAATGTTAAAAAAAAAAGTAAGTAAAATAAATTCAAAACTCTTAGAAGTCAGGACCAATGAGTCCGGAAAGTTTGTTTTTTAGCATATGAATTATCGCCAGGAGCAAAATAATTTCCATTTTACCGTCAGCTATTTGGCAGCTATACTCACCTGTTTACTTTGATTCTGGTCCCTGCAGGTAGAGACGATGAAGAAGTCGTATCATTCAGCCTGCAAAGAAGAGAAGCTGGCAGCCAGCAGGGAAACCAACAGCAAATTGGAGAGCAACAACAATCCAGAAACCCAGAAGAAACTCCAGGAAAAAGTGGAGAAATGCCAGCAGGAGGTTCAAAAGGTAGAATCTGCTAACTGTGAAAGATCCCTTATATGGGGGTTTCATAGTAATGAGATAAGGGTTGTAGTTTTCATTACTGCGCTCTCTGCAGACAAAAGAACGTTATGAGAAATCCTTGGAAGAGCTGGAAAAGTTGACCCCTCAGTATATGGAAAACATGGAGCAGGTGTTCGAGCAGTCACAGCAGTTTGAGGAAAAACGGATTCGCTTCTTCAAGGAGCTCCTCCTGGAGGTTAAGAAGCACTTGGACCTCTCGACCAACTCCAGGTCAGACCAGAAGACTAAGAAAAATCAAACAGACTGGGCTTAGATGTGAATAAAAACTCTGTTATTGATTTATTTTATTCTTCTGTCAACACAGATTCCAGACAATTTACCAGACGCTTGAGGATACGATTTCTGGCACAGATGCTGAAGATGACCTGAAATGGTTCCGATCCAATCATGGTCCTGGCATGCCCATGAACTGGCCACAGTTTGAGGTATGTAACCACAGCACAGATTGATATGAATTAAAGGGTTATACAAAGAGTAATCGGTAGCATCTGCCCAGAGGATCACAGAGATTAAAGAGTTACAAACATAGGCTGTTTTTTTATATATGCTAATTTTATACTAACATGTAAAAAAATAAAATAAAAAAAAGGATTTCCTAAATGGGAAACAAAAAACATTGAAGTGCATTGGTTTGTTGTGTGCATCTATCCTTTGCATGAATCTGTAGCCTTTTGTTATCGTTTGATCACCCAGGGATGCTTTTAGCTGCAGGGGTTTCAGGATGGTGCCGTTTCCCCGTGGGAAAGCCAAAGAACCTGCTTGTGCATGCGTTGGTTCATATGTTGCTGAGGGCTTTTTAGGCTTAACTCTTGATGTGAGGTGCCTTTTCTTCACTTTTATTTGTTTGCTCAACTTTTTAGAAGGCATGAAAGAGAAGAACTGCATGTTTGTGTTCATCAAACCTGCAAATGTTTGATAGGTTTATTTAAACCTACAGATTTAGACTGACGTCCCCATTAGTCCTAACAACATCTGCCTCCCCTCTTCATGTTTGACAGAATTTGGACCGGTCACAACCTCGCTCTAAGAGATGGTCCATTGTTGTGAGTTCTGCATGAGAAAGCTATTTTCTCGCAGTGTCCCTGGGGGTTCTCTATATTCCCACTTACAATCTTACACTTCTTTACATTGTGTGTGTTTCATCTGTATTTCATTCTGTATTAAGTGGTTATACAAATATAGATGGAAACAAAAGTTCCTCAAGCATGGGCCCAATGTTGTAATTAATTAAAAAAAGGTTAAGGTTTACATGCCAATTTGTGCAGTGAGGATAATCATATGAAACTAACAAACCAGATACCTATTCAAAAATTTTAAGTCGTATCAGAACATTAAAAAATAAGCAAAAATAAAATGATGCTTAGTGAGTCAAGGTATTTTAGTAGTACATGCTGGTAATGAATGGAGGGAATATCGAATCTGATTGTCTGTTATGCCATAACTGTGGTGCTTATTTTACTGCAGACCAAAGGGTCTGTTCTGTATTTATCAGATGTACACAGGAACAAAACAAGCTGTTTTTCCATTGATTAAGTTCTTATATTTTTCGATCCTCTGCTCCACTGCTTCACATTTCTCGCTAAGCCTTTGGTTTTGGGCAATTATCTCTGTATTCCTTCTTTCAGCGGGGGATGGAAACTGCTTTTGAGCAAATATTTGATTTTATCTCCCTTTTGCACACACATGCATGCACCAACCATGGATAAAGATCAGGTTCAGTGTTTGGCTGTAATGTTTGTTTGGTTGTGTCCACCAGGACTGGTCCGTGGACCTGAACCGAACCCTGAGCAGACGAGAGAAGAAGAAACCGTCAGAGGGTGTTACACTGACAGCCATCAGTCAGACAGGATCAGACCAGCCTGTTCAATCTGCAAAGTCCACCAGCAGGTATGCATCAGGCAATTTCTTCTGCGCACTTTACATCACATCCTCCTCTAAAAAAACACCTATTATCTCCAAGATAAGAGCAGCACCAGTATGAGATTTTATTAAATGGGGTTCCAATTGCAACAGAAAAAATTTGGTTTGTGTTTAGTAAGAGTTTTTTTTGCCACTTTGCCAAAACTAATGTGGAAATACTCCTCGCTCACACAGAGAAAATACAAGTACAGGAAAGTTAAACGTTTTGATGTTTTCGGTGTAGTGTTAAACTAAATGCTCAGTCTAGTAAAAACCTGGAATCAAATTACCATATTTTCTGGACTATAGGGCGCACCTCACTATAAGCTGCACCCACAAAGTTTTTTTTAAACTGGAAACATACATATATAAGCCGCTTATATCTACTGAACTCTCTCCCACTAAATCTCTAGGGGAAGCTCAACATATAGTCCCTAGTGTAGAGTTCAAGAAGAATGCTAGCGCCCATCAGGTTGTTAGCTCACAGGAGTTTGGCCCAGTCTCTTCACTGGTTTGGCAGCATTAATGCGGCAAATAAATATAAAAAATTTGAAAATATGGGACATTTGTTCTTACATCATGTCTAGCATATTGTGCTAAATGAAAATTAGCCCCTTATTCTTTCATTTCCATTTTGACTTCCCCCTCTGGCGGTTAGGAAAATCCACAGAAAAGCTGCACCTTCTTATAAGCTGTATGGTTCAAAGTGTGTGTGGGGGGGGGAAAGTAGGGGCTTATAGCCTTGAAAATACAGTGTTTGAAAGGTTTGGAAACGTCCTTGATCAAGGGAAAATATGTACTTCTAGACTTTCCCTTTCCTTTGTCAAACTTTTTTTTTTTCTCCATTTGTCTTTTTGTTGTCCACCCATCCATTCAACTATTGCTGACTACTTCACATTTCTTTCATCGGTCTATTCATCATCTACATTTTTAACGGGCCTTCCAATGATCTGTCAGGCTATTTACGATTCCCTATATCAAGTCTGACCAGTTTTAAAATATATACTATATATACATTATGAACTTCTTTCTTTATACCTTTTAACAAGATTAGGTAAAAGCGAGAGAACCTGAAATTTGAGATTGGTAAAAAAAAACTATTCTTGTCATTTATATATTATATTATGTCAATAATATATGAATCCTAATTTATGCTAGAAAATATATTGTGACAAATGTATATGTTAAATGTATGATAAGAATTGTTTGGAATTAGGATTTAAACACACTTAAGTGTTTTTGACTAGCAGTTCCCAATAATCCAGTCCATCTGACCCAGTTACATGTTTTCATTCTTGGAAAGCAATTATTCTGGGGGAATGTTGGTAAGAACGCAAAGGCCATGGCTCTATACATGTAAAGATAAAACTGTAGCCACGGTGAAGCTACTGATGATGAATCACCTGATTCTATCGTTATGCAGAAAGCCTCTGCCAAAACATTCATGTTTGCTGCTGGGTTATGTTATCTCTGCTTTAACATACACGTGCAGGATGTAGTGGAGATCTTAAATCACCAGAATTCTGCAGGAGTGTATAGAGGAGTCAACAAAGGGAATTCCAGTCATTTAAAACATTTGACCTCTGATCTTTCATCCGCTGATTTGCCTGGCCCTCCTCCCACCATTGTTAGTGGTTTTCATCACATGTATGCATCAGGACTGTCTCCACACATATACATGTAAAAGATTTTCACCTGAAATTTCAGCTTACTTTTAAATGAAGAGAAATTATATAATAAAAAAAAAAACACCACACGAACAAGGCTGTAACTCTCCTCTCAGATCTTGTATTCATAAATCAAAGATATTATAATTGGACTGCAATTCCTTCTGTTACATCTCACCAATATCCCACTAAAACAGTGTTTTCTGTAATAATGCCACCAGCTCGACTTGATGAGCGTGGCGTGACTATGTAAACAAAGGCGGTTACTTTTCTTTTCCCTCCAGAGCAAACTTGTTGCTGCCAGTGTTTGACGGTCGACTAACTCTGTCAACAGCAAATGGAAACCTTTTGTTTCCTCTGATAAAAGTTGGCGACATTTGTAAGTTTTGTGCTTTGATGCGGAAACTTAAAGTGGTAAAATTCGCCCTATTCAGGTGTTGTGAGTTTGTTAAAGGACGCTCAGCTAATGTATCCTTGCTGGATCTTTTGTGCTTGATATTAAATACAGATTAAACCTAGCTTGTTTTACTAGAATTAAAGCAATATACTAATAATCTTAAACTTTACTGCTACAAATAAATATAATTATGAGTAAGCCCCAGTTCTGTTAGAGATGTCAAATCTAATATTTGATATAGAACTGGGTTTTTATTATAAAGACCAACTGAGCTAACTATGAGCCTTTTTAGGGGTTCAAACATTACATTTTAAGATAATATGGAGATGAAACATTGTCTTATATACTAACCTAATCATATTTTTTTGCCCCAGTTTTCTCTGAAGAGGCATTACAAAATACTGATTGGTTCAAAGATGGCATCTGATTGAAGCTCACCAAAATAAATCTAAGTTAACTTAAAATACTGAACCACCAACTGTAGTATAGTCAGGAAAGCTGAAAAGTTACAAACTCCAGTCAGAAACAAATCGACATTCAGTTAAAACATTTTAACAGAGAAAGCCAATAGAATACGTTTCTAAGCATCTCTAAGATGCTTCCTGGACTGGTTGAATGCCTTGTGTGCATGAGGTGAAGCATTTGAATTCACGCACTGCTTGCATGCGTTTCATTTTAGAAGGTGGATTTGCATCTTTCTACAGATCAGATGGTTACATGCCTGTCATTGGTATGAATTGAATTAATTTAGCCCTTTTTGTTAATCTGTTAAACTATGTATTCAGTGTTTACTGGTGGGGAAATATACAGCTTTAAAAAGAAAACAAAAAGAAAAATCAGGTGCTCGAAAATATACAAACAGGCTGGTTAGATGCCCTTTAGTAAGCTGGTGTCAACTACAAGCTTTTTGTAACTATCAAGAATCTTTTGAGATATTTAATAGTAAATAACATTAGTTTGTTTCCTGGCATTGACATGGTTTTGGGCATATTTTTGGGAAATTGGGGTATACTTAGTTAATTTAGTTAACTTGCTTTATGCATCTAAAACTTTGTGCAACCTGCATTTTGCTGATGTGACACTAGATGGCGCCCATATTTCTAACCTCTAGGCTCTATTTTATCCACTCTGTGCAATGCGCCTATAGCATTGGCAACAATAATGGCCTCAAAGCATAATGTTGCCACCACCATGCCTGACAGTTAGCTGTGTTCTTAGATTTTAAACTCCCCCTCTGGACTCTTCCAAATATAGTTCTTTTCACTTTCCTCCAGCTAGAAGTTTGTAAATATTGGTGGCTGCAGATTACTGTTGAGCTCAAAGCTTTCAGTTGCACAGCAGAGCCTTCTATCCTGGTCTATACCACAGACTGTAGTGTTAAACTGGCTTCACTTTGCACAGTGAGACTGCTCTTTCAGTTCATATTAGGCTTGCATATTGACTGTTCAGAGTTTGTTCCTGAACATCACATTTCCTTCCAAGTAGGGTAACTGCAAGGGTAACATTTGTTCATTCAGTTGAAATGTGGTCAAAACTGGATGTGAAAGTTATCCCAAGCACATATCCAGAACACTTTAGGAATAAATAACAGTCACAATTAACAGTCAACCTTTTCCTTTTTTCTTTTTTGTTTTGGTTAAACCAATTAAATACTACCCATTGTGATGAAGAGTAGTTAAAAATCCAGCCAGAAATATGCCAGAATTTCATCCATGGCTCCAAAAAACCCCAGAAGTAACCCAAAAGGTCGGCATCCAGTTATTGAACAATAAAAAAAGAGAAAAGTTTCAAATTAAAACTTTTAAGGTATCGGTTGACCTTCATGCCAGTGACAAGGCAGTGATCTACACCTGAATGGCAGCTCATTAATTTTATTCTGTTCTATCCATCTCAATGTTTGGAGTGTTTTTAACTTCACTTGGCTTTGTCTCTGTCCAAAGGGGTAAGTACGTCTGAAATGTGTTTGAAATTTAACAACCCATCTCTCACTTTGCTCCATGTTATCAGCCTGACAGTGCCCACAAAAACAGAACCAGTGGGTACAAATCCGTTTGAAGAAGATGAGGAGCAGGAGGAAGAGATGGCTGAGGAGGAGCAGACCACAGTCAACCACGTCACTGTGAATAAAGAGGAAATAAAAACGTTGGTGAAGCAGACGACCCTCCGCCAACCCGCAGCCTCTTTCTCCTCTACCGTTTCCATCTTTGACTCCTTAGATTATATTTGTTCCCCATCTCTTTGGTTACTTTTCTTTTGGTATCCATCCTTTTTCTCCTCAGGTCTCAGGTTCTTGTGTTGCTCTGCATGGTCTCTGAATGGCACTGCACACAAAGTCAGTGTGTGTCTGTCCTTCACACGTGACCGTTTCATGTTTTACAGAGTTTAAACCTTGTGATGCGCATGGAGGCGCATGTCTTTGTTGTGGGAAATGTCTGTTTCTTACAGTCAGATCCGATTACATCTTTAGAGACTGATTACTCTTTGTGGTTCATTCCCAATTTGTAAAGAATCAAAGAAAACATTTAAAAGCTGCTTTGGGTCTGACTGTAAATCCCTTGTTGTGCATTTATAGTTTCCCAGTTGTCACAACCAAGTTCTGTCTGTTTAGGTGGCTCCATCTGCTGGCTGTCAAAGTTAAAGCTCCAATCAAGCATTTGCAATGATTTTTACTGCTTGGTCTTTGTTTTTTTTCTCATTAACCTGCTGATATGTTATGTTATTTTTCTTTTGGCTTACCTCAAACAGCATTGTCAGCACCTTTTCCTTTAAGCTCTTCATCTCTTAAAGGCAGGGACAAAATCATTTCCTTTCATCTTGACTCAATACACAGATAAACAAATGATGTACTGGAATTGACTGAGGCAAAGTGTTTTCTTCATATTATTCACTCATTTGTGGCTTTTAAAATGCACTTTGAGCTTTTATGTGGTTTGTTCTTGCTGGTGTATTTGTCTCACTTCTAATCATTGGAACCTTTAAACCTGGCATGCTGAACCTTCCCCCTCAATTGCACTGGTTTATTTAGCTAAGGAAGCTTTTCTGCCTATTTGTTCAGTGCCAACAGCTCAGAGAAGACTCCAGACTGGTCAGACGAGGACACGGTTGGGAACCCTTTCTCCGCCAACGGTGATGGCAATCCGTTTGAGGAAGAACCAGAGTCTCCGGTCATTTCTGTTCCCGTTAAAGCCCTCTATGATTATGAAGGACAAGAGCAGGACGAGCTCAGCTTCAAAGCAGGTTTGCAACCTAAATAATAACACATCAACTTCCGATTAAAAATGTACAATGAAAATACAGGGAAAAGGTACCAGAAGGAAGGCAAATGGAAACATATGCCTCTCTGTCAGTAACATAAACAAATCCATGTTCTTTTTTTTTCACTTTTACAGGTGATGAATTTACAAAAATCGGAGAAGAGGATGATCAAGGCTGGTGCAAAGGCCGACTCCAGACTGGACAAATAGGTCTCTATCCTGCTAATTATGTCGAAGACATCCAGTAAAGAGCTTTCCCTGATGCCACAAATGTGAAGAAAGACGAAAAGTTTAGTCAAAATCAGCTTGATTTTCCTCCATAGTAATTAAATGAATTAGTTTTCTACAGCTTATACAAGGACCACTGTTACTTCCTACAGGTTGGCTTTGGTGTTAGCAAAATTACAAAAAAAAAGGAAGCCGACCACGCGTTACCAACTGGGGAACAGCTGCTGTGTCTAATGTTACATAAAATCACATCAATGCTGTTACAGAAAAGCTATTCAAATGTGTATTAGGAAATTCAATGAAATGTGTATGTTAATAAATGTGTAAATATCTATATATATATTGTTAAAAGAAAACACTGGGATGACGACCTGCCTTGTGACGTTAAATGCAGCCTTATTATTTAAGCCCTTTTTAAATTCTTTAAGGGAGACTTTTTAGTTGATATGCTAATAGAATCCAGCATATGAATATGGAATACATTTCTTTTCATAACCCAGATCCCTTATGTGTAATTTGTTTTAAATTTGCTCTTACATTTTGTTATTTTGCATATTGTAAGAACAATTTTTGAGTGATTGAGTCTCATCTTCTCATCATCTTCATTCCTTTTTTAAGATGTCAGGCTAGTGCAGATGAATGTATATTCAGTGATTTTGTTTTTTGTGTTTTTTCATGTATTAACTCAGTTTTTCAGATGCAAGATATTTTCAACCACTGACCTTCTCTTTTCTGTAAATGGTTATCCCAACAACATAGACTGCATTATTTTTTTTTTTAATCTTTTATCATCCATGCAACACTGAATGTATTTCTGACTTGAATCTGCAGGTTTTAGTTCTCCTTCAGGCCAATTGCTCTGTGATGGGAAAATATTTTAGTGCTTGTTTTAGCAATAGAAGCAAGCCAATTGTTGCATAAATGCTGGGATTAAGCGTAATCCAATAGATAAAGAATAATTTATAAGGCCACAAGTGCTTGTTCTGTTTCTTATTCTGTATTTGAAATGGTTTTGTACATTGAAATTATTCTTTTGAGTATTTTTCTGAAGCCGTTTTATTTGTTAAATCTGTAAATAGGTTTCCTTTGCCTTCACCTAAAGCACTCTCTTATAACAAGAGTAAAGGCTAAGTAATCCACTTAAACCTTCGATATAAATGAATATATATATTTTTAACAATCCTAATGCTCATTGATCATTTTCTTTTGTCTCCAGAAAAGGCTCATAACTTCTGTATACCTGACATTGAATTAGATTTTTTTTTTTTTCAGGTTGAGCTGCTGTATGCCAGCAGTAACAGCTGTACTTGCACATTCAATGTTTGTAAATGTTGTATCACAACATAATAAACAGATTTATTACGCAAAAGATTTTTTTCTTTAATTTATAAGGGTGTTTACATTCTCTTTTTAACTGATAATAGACTTTTAATATTAATCTATATATTTACAGATATGAAAAAAATCAGAAATATTTGTTTTGTTGGGTTTCATAGCTACAAGTGCTCATCTGACAAAAACCAACCAAAATGCTCCGGATTTAATAACATTCTGTATTAGAAGTAGTTTTAAGAATTTTCTAATCCTGGTAGTATACTGTAATAAAAGTATACAAACTGGGGATATATATTGCTTTTTCAATTAAGTTATATTATTTGTTGTTGGGTGTTTTATTGAGTGGTTATTTAAGCCAATTTCTGCCAAATCAGAGTATTGATGGTCTCACTATTATGATGTTGCTCACTGATAGTTGTAATAATTTGTAAACGAATGCTATATCATACTGTTAAAAATATCTAATATAATCTCATGAGATGGCTTTATATCTTAAAAATTTATAACAAGTATATTTTATGTTTATTACGTAGAAAAGACAGCTAGGAATATCCCATCAGATCAGTAGTTTATATGGAGACAGTATTGCTTTTCAGGGGCGGAGCTGGATGGGGGCCAGGGGTGGCCATGGCCACCCTTAGCCAATCATTAGCCACCCCTACCATTTTGGTGGTTAATTGTTGCACATGAGTATACTAACATTAAAGATAAATACAGAATTCATGCTCTTTTTAGAACTACATTTTGTGTTATATATGGGGTAAAATTATAAAAATAAAATATTTTTACACGTCAGTAGGAGTCTTTAGTGAAATCAAAGATAAATGACTATTTTATTAAAAACTTATTGAATAATATTTTTTTTGCAGAATGATTATTGATAAAAGTAGGTAAGTAATGACAATGAAAAAGATATTAACCTCGGAAGTTTAACCTGAAAGAATTTTATGAACTATACCTTTTATCCAGAAAGCATGCATGTTTGAATATATGTGCTTATTTGTAAGCAAATGCTGTAGGAAAGTATAGTTTGTCTTTATTTTGAAAATGTGGATGTTATGCTTGTTAATTTTCCTGTTGGAACAGTGTAGATTGACCCTGAGGTTTGTTTTTGTTTTGTTTTTTTCCAGTGTCCTGTCTGGCAATAAGAATAATTGTCTTGATGCCAAAAAGAGAGCCCAACAGATTTTGCTTTCACAAGTGGAGCAGTATGGCTTTTGCCATAGTGTTCCGCTTGATTGATGCATATAAATATCTTTATTATAAATCATGCAGGGAGTATTACAGATTATATGGAGACTGCAATGTAAATAGAACTGGAAAGAAAAAGAAAAAAAGATGAAAGAGTAGATAAAAGAGAGACAATGATAAAATGTCTTCAGCCACCCCACAGTGTACATTGGATATTGCCTGGACACCCTCATAAATATGTTCTGGCTACGCCTCTGTTGCTTTTCTGGTAATTTAATTAAAATTATGAATAAAAATAAGTTATATCTCCTTATACAGGAGAGCAAAGTTAGCATGAGTTCTCATCCATTATAAAAATATACGTATATATGCAAAAAAAAAAAAATAATTTCCCGCCACTGTTAAAAAAACAACCAAAAACTGCTCTAGTTCCAACTTGCACTGTAAACTACATTACCCAGAAGACATTGGTACAACAACACAACCACGGGCCGCGTTCAGCCAATCACAGTCGACTCCCGATGTTCTCCAACTGACGTGTCTCAGAGGATTGTTATTGAGAAAAACACGAAGCTTCTTTGAATGCCATTTGTTCAACCAACAGGCAGGTTCTTCTAACAGACAGCTGAAACCATGGCGGAACCCAGTAGGCAGGATATTTCTGCTATTTTCAAGAGACTGCGCTCCATTCCGACGAATAAGGTAAGTTTTTATGGACGGCAGACGTTTGGGTGTCTTTAACAAGGAAGTCAGCAGAAGCAGATATCTGACACGTCGCACTTTGTGGAAAAAAATGGTCTCGGCTCGTTTTAACAAGCTAAAATCAGCCATCTCCGCGTTTTTTTTTTTATTATTTATTTTCTTAAATAATCCTAGCTGATGGGAAAAAATGTTAAAACATTTATGTTGTTGATACATATAAGACCGATATAATAGTTTTTAAAGTTAATTTCTCTAACCATATGTAGCACTAGCTAAAACCGACAGTTAATACAATTTTAGTTGGTTTAAGCTTATTAAGACGTTTATTCCAAATTAAACGCCTTGTTTAATTGATGAGGAAGCAGCTGTATGATTCAACACATGTACTTCAGACCCTCACAGCTGTTGGCTTATTGATTGAGAACATGAATCCAGATTATGACTAATTTCAGTGTGTTTGTTTTTTTTTTTT